GGGAACACAGCAGAAGAAGTTTCCAAGAAAGGAAAGAAGATCATACAGATTCTCCTGGGAGCTGGGTTTGTCATCAAAAAGAGTAAGGTTAAGGGACCTGCCCGAGAGATTCAGTTCCTGGGAGTAAAGTGGCAAGATGGATGTCGTCAGATCCTGACTAAAGTCATTGATAAAATCACAGCAATGGTCCCACCGACTAGCAAGAAGGAAACACAGGCTTTTCTGGGTGCCATAGGTTTTTGGACGATGCATGTCCCCGAGTACGGCCAGATCGTACACCCTCTCTATCTGGTAACCCGCAAGAAGAATGACTTCCAGTGGGGTCCTGAACAGCAGCAAACATTTGAACAGATTAAATAGGAGATTGGCCATGCTGTAGCCCTTGGGCCAGTCAGGACAGGGCCAGATGTGAAGAATGTACTCTACTCTGCATCTGGGGATAAAGGCCTCTCCTGGAGCCTCTGGCAGAAGGTGCCTGGCAAGACCTGAGGCCGCCCACTTGGATTCTGGAGCTGAAGCTAGAGAGGGTTGGAAGCCAATTACATTCCAACAGAAAAGGATATCCTAGCAGCTTATGAGGGAGTACAAGCTGCCTCAGAGGTGATTGGCACAGAAGAACAGCTGCTCCTGGCACCTTGACTACTGGTGTTGAGTTGGATGTTCAAAGGGAAGACACCCTCTACACATCATGACACTGATGCTGCATGGAGCAAATGGATCACTCTGATTATGCAGTGTGCCTGCAATAGAAACCCAAATTGCCCTGGGATCCTAGAAATCATCACGAACTGGCCGGAAGGTGAGAACTTTAGTCTAGCAGATGAAGAAGAAGGGGAACAGGTGGTACGGGTGGAGGAAACTCCAGCATACAACCAACTACCAGAAGAAAAATGCTATGCACTCTTTACTGATGGTTCCTGCCACACTGTAGGGATGAAACGTAAATGGAAAGCAGCTGTATGGAGCCCCATACAACAAGTTGCAGAAGCTACTGAAGTAGAAGGTGAATCAAGCCAATTTGCAGAGCTCAAAGCTGTCCAGTTAGCATTGGACATTGCTGAATGAGAGAAGTGGCCAAAACTTTACCTCTACAGGGATTCATGGATTGTGGCCAATGCCCTGTGGGGGTGGTTGGACAGATAGAAGAAGGCCAATTGGAAATGTAGAGGAAAACCCATCTGGGCCACTGATATATGGCGAGACATTGCTACCCGGGTAGAGAAGCTGACTGTGAGAGTTTGCCACATAGATGCCCATGTGCCCAAAAATCGAACCAGTGAAGAGCATCGCAACAATGAACAGGCAGACCAAGCTGCACAATTCGAGGTGTCACAGGTGGATCTAGACTGGCAGCACAAAGGTGAACTGTTCTTAGCAAGATGGGCCCATGATGCCTCCAGCCATCAGGGCAGAGATGCCACCTACAGATGGGCACAAGACCAAGGGGTGGATCTAACCATGGACGCCCTTTCCCAGGTTATCCATGACTGTGAGACATGCACTGCCATTTAACAGGCTAAGAGACTGAAGCCCCTGTGGTATGGTGGACATTGGAGTAAATACAGATACAGGGAGGCTTGGCAGGTTGATTATATCACACTGCCGCAGACCCATCAAGGTAAGTCCTATGTGCTCACCATGGTGGAAGCCACCACTGGATGGCTGGAGATGCAGCCAGTGCCTCGCACTACTGCCAGAAATACCATCCTGGGCCTCGAAAAACAGGTCCTGTGGTGACACAGCACCCCAGAGTGAATTGAGTCAGATAAAGGGATACACTTCAAGAATAGTTACCACCTGGGCAAAAGAGCATGGCATTAAATGGGTCTATCACATACCATACCATGCAGCAGCCGCCAGGAAGGTTGAACAGTGTAATGAACTGTTGAAGACTATAATAATAATGGCCAGTCTTCGCGAACGAAGAACCGGGGAAGGTCTTTCCACCTTCCAGCCTGCGCATTGGATTTTTTAGGTGAGACACAGTGTGCGTGGAACTGAGCCCACCCTTTAATCCTTAGGTTCATCTGCCGGGGCCAAGCACGCTTGGACGGTGGCAGCGAGGCCCTCAGGACGTAGATGGATTGCCTTACGGGCTAACGAGCTCCATCTGCTTGGGGAGGGGCCCCGACCAGGAATTGAACCCGGGTCTCTGCAGTGACAGTGCAGTGTCATTTCCCCTAGACCACCAGGGGCTCCCACTGTTGAAGACTACCCTGAAAGCATTAGGTGGAGGGACTTTCAAACACTGAGATCAGCACCTAGCAAAGGTTACATGGTTAGTCAACACTAGAGGCTCCGTTAATTGAGCTGGCCCTGCCTAATCAGTCCCTTCACACAGTAGATGGAGACAAAGTCCCAGTGATTTACATGAGAGGTATGTTAGGTAAAACAGTTTGGGTTAACCCTGCCTTGAGCAAAGGCAAATCCATTAGTGGAATTGTTTTTGCCCAAGGACCCGGTTTCACATGGTAGTGATGCAAGAAGATGGAGAAACCCGGTGCATACCTGAAGGAGATATTATCTTCGGGTGAACAGGCCATAATTCTGTATCTGTATTTGTACTGTATGTATGTGGATGTGTACATAGTTTAGTATAATGCATGTATGTATGGAGTTCAAAAAGTTTAATTTGATAGAGCATGGTGGCATGGGAAAGGAAAAAATTAGGGATGGATAATGTCATGGTTTTGCTGGTTCTTGGAAACTAGGCAGGAATTTGTCCCTTCCCCCTGCCCACTGTGTGCAGGTTTGTTAAGTGAGCAGTTAAGGAGCACAAAAGAAGCTGCTTTCTTGTTAATGGCTCAGAATCTTGTCTCCTGGGATATGGGGGTAAGGAGCTCCTTTTTGCTTTTTTTTTTCTTGTCTCCTGGGAAACAGGGGGAGGGGATGTGCCTTTTGCAGTTCTCACAAAGAACAGAAGAAACACTAAAAATACATATTAACACATTGCAGAGGTTTCTATTAAAGAACAGCAAGTGAGATGTTTCTGATTTATCACATCACCATTTACTGCTATTTTTCTTTGCACATAACTTCAATTGGAACTCAAATAAAAGCATATGAACACAGGATTTTGAAGTGGGTTTGTAGTTAAATGTAGTTTAAGTGATTTGTCTTTCAGAAAAAAATTGCCAACATAGAGATAGACGTTTTCAATTTGGAACTCAGAAAATAGTATCACCCTGACTGGGCCTTTTCAGCTTGACACTGGGCCATGTGTGTTGTGTCTATACTGCTTTCAGATCAGTTGCTTTGTGTGAGTTCATGTTTGCCTCCTAAAAAGCATGTAGACATACCTGAGTTAAAAAGCCTGTGCTCCTTGAAGGCTTTTGTTTGATGACCTTTAAACCCTTCCCTATGATTCAGGACCAGTAAAACCAATAGCAAAGTCCTAAGACTTTCTTTCCAAGTCAGTCTCAGTTCCCTTTTTTGAAAAGGATTTGCCTAGCCTTCTCTTAGACACCTTTGATGAAGATTTCACAACCTTCTAAAACTATTTCATTACCTTCTTATCTTTTATTATTTTAACTTTTTCCCTAACACCTAAACAGTATTTTCCAGTAATTTCCATTTTTTTCCTGTGAATACAAAGAACAAAATGTCTCCTTTTCTTCTGTGCAAAAGCATTTTACAACTTTAAACACTTATATTATCTCCCCTTCAAACTTGTCTTTAAGCTAAATAAATCTTTCTTTCTATCATAGATCATGCTTTCTTGGTCTCCAACTGTCACTGTTATTTTGTGAATTCTTTCAAATGGGTCAGCCATTCTTGCTGAATACAAGATGGATGATGAACTCTGTGAAGCTTCACTAGCACTGAGGAGACCAGACAGATTATATAAATTTTCAAGGAAAAAAAAAGAATGAACGATGCCTATTTATATCTGAATTTCTTGTAAAATTCAAATTGCACAATAAATTAAGCTTTGGACATTTCTTCTTCAAAAAGAGTGCTAAAAAACTCCAATGAGAAATTTTTGAATGTTCAAAGCAAAGAACTAAAGAAAACCCCCTAAATTTGTGTTGCAATTTCATCTAGTATTTCAACTAACTTGCCCTTCATTCCCAAATACATAAAAATGAGAAAATGAATACAATAGCACAAGTGGTTATCTATGTCTTTTTGTTCGAAAATCACCTGTGATCCCTTCAGAACACTGCAGTCATGAAAATTACAATAATAATTACGTTGCAGCAAGAAAATAGGACACAGAAACTTAAACATTAATTACTGAGAGTCTTGAAAAAATATTAGATGAGTGTTAGCTTTGAAGAAGGATGACAGAGAGAAGCTAGATGAGCACTCCTAGCAAATAGGAGTCCATACCAGAAGTTCCTGCTTACAGAAAAGGAGAAGCTGACACTCCACTGGACAGAGAAACCATCATGGAAGACATTAAGGTACACATAAAAACTCACTGCTACTTTCTACTCTCCAAAGTATTCCTGCTTAAAGAAACACTTAAAACCTACTTAAACAGTGTTTCTCAATAAAGTAGCACTTATACGGGAAGACGGAAAAGAAAATTTAAAGAACTGTCTCCAGGCTGCCAAAGAAGAAAAGCAGCAAGATGCATGAAGAGCTGTGCCATCTGCTCCTGTGGTAGCTTCTTCTCGACTATGAACTGTTCTATCAGTTCTGCTGCTGTTGCGTGAACAGCTTCCATACCGTGGCAGTATTTGACTACAGAGGATGGCCAGAGTGTGATACTCTTGTAGCAAGACTAACGCATGTAATTAAATTGCAGTTAAAAAAAAAAAAAAAAAAAAAAGTTATTTGCAAGGCATTGCTTAAGTTGCTAAAACCGCCTGCTGCATGATGCTGAAGTCAATAGATCTTCCAGCCACAGCTGGGGTGTGGAATATATAAGTGGCTGTGATAGGAAACAGGCCCAGCGGGTCTACAGAGCCACGTATCGGCGTGTAGCCCCTTTCTTCCACGAGATCCCAAGACCAGCACTGCCTGTTTCATGCTCTTGCACATACAAACATTACCACTTGTACAAAATAAAGGACGAAATATGCAGGAACGTGGCGCCCTTGTCCCAGCGCAACGCGAGCTCCTGGCCTCAAGTCACCAGGGGGCACCGCCGCAGGCCCTGCTGCCCGCGGCCGCGCCCGCCGGTGCCCGAACATCCCTGAGCCCGCCAGGCCCAGGGGCTGCGGCGCTAAGGGCTCCGAGGGGAGCAGCGCTGCCGCCTCCGCGCTGAGCGCCCCCTCGGGCGGGCGCTGGGCTCTGCCCGGTGCGGGCGGTGCGGACAGGCGTTCCCGCACCTCCGCGCTTACCCCGTGCCCCCGCCCGCCCAGCCAGGGCCCGGCTCGGCCCCACGGGCAGCGGCGGCGCCTCCCGCCCCCGGCCCCACTCAGCTCATCGGGCAGCGCACAGGGGGAGGTGGCGCTGGAGCGGGCGGGGAAGGGGTTGCGCAGCAGCAGGTGCTCTTGCGAACGGGAAGAGATGGGAGACAAATGGCGGTGGAAAGCGCTCCGACAGCGCGGCCCCTGCCCGGCCGCGGGAGTCACCCGGGGGGGCTCGGTCCTCCCCAGCAGCTGCCGCGTCCCTCGCCTCTCGGGAGCCCGGGACTCTGCCGGGCGAGGGCCAGCCCTGCTGCTGCGGGAAGGAGGGCAGTGCCCGCGCCGTGCCGAGCCCTGGAGGGAATACGTCCTGTTGCCTCCTGACTGGCAGGGATGGAGCTGGGGTGGGGTCAGCCCCGGCGTCAGGCTGCGACTGTGGAGAAGAGAGATTTGAGGGAACAACCAAAACTTTTCAATAGACACTGGAAAAACAACAACAAAAAAATGCGTTCTCTCATGCCCGACATGGTACAGTCAAAGAGAGGGACCAAGGACATCAGAGAGACCGGCAGGTGCGAGCCAGCGGTGCGGCGAAGGGAAACGAGCCGGCGAGTCCCAGGGACAGTTTGCACTTCCGTGGTGTTTTGGCCTCTTGCGGGGATACAGTGACTAGAACTGGAGATAACATGTCTTCGTAGCTCACAGTCTGCTGACAGTTGCTGCACTTCAAACACACAGGTCTTCCAGGCATAGCTGGGGTGTGGAACGTATATGTGGCTGTGATAGGGAACTGACTCAGCGGGTCTGTTGCTAGAGCAATGTGAGAGTAAGAAAGGCTGGAAGATTACTGAGGAAAATAAAATTAGTCTGTTCACTTTTTGGCCTCTGGGGGTGATTGGGCACACTGAAGCCTTCATTTCACTCTTTCTCCTACATTTTTGGACAATGTAGGATTCAAGGTAAGATTTTGGCTCTCATGCGGCAGAAGTGCACTACCACTTTTTTTTTTTTTTTCTTTTTTTTTTTTTTTTTTTTTTTTTTTTTTTTTTTTTTTTTTTTCCTTTTTTTTTTTTTTTTTTTTTTTTTTTTTTTTTTTTTTTTTTTTTTTTTTTTTTTTTTTTTCCTTGGAAGAGAGTATAGTTTTTTTCAGTTCATGCTATTTAGAATCCTGTTCATGGGAAAAGTTTTCAAACAACAGTGTGACACAAATATTTTGAATAACAGTATAATGACATCTATTCAGAAAGCCTTAGACCTTTCGGTAATTACAGCAAACTAAATTACTTTATCCTTGTTTATGCTTAAACAGTATAATTGGATGTGATGGATTTAAAAAAACCAAACCCAACAAACCCCTGTGCTTTGATGAACCATTTTCCCACTCCATGATTAGAAAGCCTGTTGTCTTTATTTTTGAAGGAGAGAATTTTTAGGAGCTTTTTTCCTGATTATTACATTTGGTGAGATGCTGTGCTTGCTAGTTTTTCTTGCTCAGTGTAGACTCAATAAAGTACATAAGTAGGATGCTCACAATAGTTAAATTCTGTTTTACTCTGCTGTGATTGTATGGTAATTATATATAGAAGAAACACTGTTATTTTAAAGTAATTTATAGCATGCTACAGTACGCTCAAATTTAAACTAAAAGGACTGTTAGAAAAAGCAGTATTTATCAGTTGTAAAGAGTTGCAGGTTATAGGACACTTTTTAGCAAACTTAATTTGTAAAGGTATATAGCAACAAATGAAATAGATGAATGGAAAAAATAAAATTAAGATTAAAATGACTAGTTTAAGACTAATTTAAGACTTCACCTTATTACATCAAATAATGTTAAAAATATTAGGGTAGAGAGATTTTAAAATATTTGCATATTATTTGCTTCCACTTAAGTAGGCTGTAGGGTTAGACTAATTGAATTGAATCCCATGCTTAAGGAGAAATAGTCAAGAAGATAGCACTGGGGGAAAGAAATTAAAGGGACTATAAGGCTTATGTCACAGTAACAGCAAATGGAATGAGGAAAAATTAAACTTTGCTGTAAGATTATATGTACTGTGTGGTTAACTGTATTTATTATCTTACATACAATGTTCACCTATCACAGGATGAGGACAGGGCAGCTGGACTGTGCAAGGTTAGGGAGGATGTATTAAGAAGGTTAATGGATGTTGCTTGTGCTCTGGCTTTGCGATAGGCTTTGGGATTCACAATAGCCTGATGCAGAAGTTAAGTCTGAGGCAGGATATATATGATATGCTTTTTACTGGGATAACCCCTTAAGTCTATGGTGAGCATTTAAAGGATCAGTGCCAAACTAACACACAGCAAGTCAGAAACCAGAGAATATCTCTGCTGTTCTGTGACAGGGATTCTATATCAGGAATACTATACTGAAGGTTGTATGCAGAGCTTAATTGAACACTGAAGCACACTGCAGGGCTATATTGATTTGTGCATATACTGTTTTCATGTTCACAGCACATGGACAGTATATCCAGTTCACAGGTACTCTATGAGCATCTCTAACAAGTGGTATGTTTTCCAGTGATCACACAAGGAATGCATTGTTTCCTTTCCAATAGTGTTGATGTAGCTGCCTAGGAAAAGGGATGACCTAATTGTCATTCCTGTAGAACTCCTTTCTTCACCAAAATGTGTCACCTTCAATAGAAGAAGTTACATTTTCTGCAGCTGTTCAATAACGCACTAATAACTACCCTAGGTATTAACCCAGTTTTGTAATCCCTTGTTCTTTGACTCATTAGGCTGCTCCATTAGCTGAGATTATCTCCAAGACCTGCATATGTATTATTTGGTCATCTGTTCTCGAGGAAAATATTTCAGAAAACGGCCCCAGAGGAAACATTAGAACAATTGACTGAAGAAACAGAAACTGTTGGATAGAACTTTCGTGACTTGATACTGAGCACAGGAGGAAAATTATTGCTGCCACTACCTGTTTTGTTGGTTTTTTCTTTTCTAAGCAACTTGCACACTTGAACAGCTTTGTAATTTGGAGAAGCCCAGTGAGCAACACTGGCCTGTTTCACCCTTCACTAGGGAATTAATTGCTGCATAATCTTTGGTAACAGTAGGCACTACAATAGCCATAAAGAATAATTTTTTTACTGTATGGAAATTATAATTTTTTTGTATTTCATTAGCCTATTGAAAATACAGCCTTTCAATCCAGCACATCACTGAAAAGCTTTTCCTATTACGATGTAAATTGTGAGAAATGACATTTCACCCCCTTGTACGTGAAGATAATGGTTTACATTTGATTTGTAAACCAACTAACTTGAAGTATAGCTGTATGATAGGAAATTTACAGAAGTTACTGGTGGCACTTACTTCCTTTTTAATATTACACTTTCTGTGAAAAGAAGATTATCCTTGGTAATAAATTTGTAATGGTTTGTATTTGATTTGTGAATTTGTAAATTTGTACTTCTACAAGAAATCTAAAGCCCATATAGAATATGCATCAATTATCTAAACATTTGTTTTCCTTTTACTTCTTTTTAAAAACCAATCAAATCCATGTAAGATTACTCTGTGTGGTGACAGGGTGGATTATAGCTAGAGAAAACATTTTTTAAGTCACTTAAGACTAGATCTAATAAAGGAATTCTTCATATAGTTTTACCTTGTGATTGCTTTTTCCCTGGAATGGAATCCAGAACTGTGTTAAATGTAGGGATCCTTTCTGGGCTTAAGAACTGCTGGTCAAGGAATCTATCTGTCTTGAGAGAGAATAAAAGAAAACACCATAAAGAAGAAAAATAAAGTAAGTCAGTGAACTTGATTGTTTATCACGTTTGGGAGCTAGTTCCTAGAAGTAAAACTACTCAGATGGAAAAGAGACCTAAAACCACTTCTCTCTTCAACTTGCTTATTTATCTCATATTTCCCATAACTTGGGAGAACGTGCTAGTTGTCCAGCTAAAAATAAAAGCACATATTCTTTTTCTCCATGGTGGCATGGCTTCAAAGAATTTATGATCTATGGGACTATATGGGATGGAAAAGATGCCCAAAGAATTGTGGAGCTCACACGGGAAAGGGAATTCCAGGGATTTTCAAGGATGAACTTAAGTGTTTTACACCAAGTGTGTCTTGCAGTAAAGTGTTTGACTTGAAGACTGAGCTTAGACAAGTCAAAGAAATTCATCCAGTCTGAACTGCTAAGGAATTTGGAGAGGATAACTGAAAATAAAGTTAATTTTCATTAAAATAACAAGAATTTATATCCAAGCAGGGAAAATGCTTTCAGAAATAAAGCTAGAATGAAATGGATAGCTAATTAAATAAGTACTTTAGACAGATCTTCAAGGAATAGAACAGAAAGGAATTTAAAAATTACCAATCAGCAAATATAACTAATTTTTTTTAGAATGTGGAATAGCAATTAAAACTTCTCAAACTGAAGCTGGATTAGAACTTGTGAAGAATGTTAAAAAAGCACTTTGTGGGATTTATGTGCTAAATGGGTGTGGACTTGTAAACTGCTGGCAAGAATTTCTGTTATCAGCTAGGGACTCATCCAATGAAAACAATAAAGAGATAAAGTATTGGAATATATTAATTGGTCACAGATTGTCTGTGCATTGACTGTGTGATGTAGCTTTGAAAAAAGAGATTGTGCACTGGACTGTGGGTATATTTCCAGTACATACAGGTGAATATCACATCAAAGGGAGTGACAATAATAATTTTTTCAATAGATAAATTTGAACTAGGCTAGGAATGAAGAAGTAATACTAAGATGATAAAACTGAATAGAGCCTGCCTTATGGAAAGACCGAAAGAGCTTTGCTTATTCAGTTCAGCAAAACAAATGCGGAGAAAGCTTTTTCTTTATAGGACATCAGTGAGGAAATAAAAGATTATTTCAGCTTCATATAACCTAGAGTATGTATATACACATATATAAAACAAATTAGGAATGAATTTGCCAATAAGAAATTTTGGGTGGAAATTGAAAAGTTGTAATTGTGCTCCCAGGGAGATTACTGGAAAAGCTTTCCAAGAAAAGTGTTGAGGAAAAATGCCAAATAACTTGAAGTACAGCTGTATGATATGAAGTTTACAGAATTTGGTGGTGGCGCTTTTTTTGGGATCTTACAGTTCCTGTGAAAATAAGATTATCCTTGGTGGTTTGCTACTTTATGACTGTTTCTCTGTGTTCTTAGTCCTGATTTCCTGCCTCATGAGAGGCACGGCCTTGTCAGTGCTTAATATGTATGTAAAAATAATATTTCTTAACAAGTGTAAAATATCCTTCAGAGGGAATATAAAAGGGTTTGGGGTTTTTTCAGTGATGCTGCCATTCAAACAGTCTGAACAGCTCTGCACAGTAATTTCTATTTGGTGAAATTTAATCTTTCATAACACATCAGAATCATCTGCTGTTTTACCGTTGTCTAAGTTAAATCTTTGCAAATATATTTTTTATTCCAGTGTTATATAGTTTATGAGAACAGTTTGAAATCCATTCCTTTTATAGATTTATCAATTTAACTTTTTTAGTAGGAATGGGTAGAAAGCAGTGAAAATTTCTTTCAGTTATTAGTGCTAATCCCTGCCTGTACCAGGCTTGTTCTCCAGCTGAAATATAAATAAATTAATCATAGAATGGTTTGGCCTGACCTTAAAGATTATCTGGTTCCAGACTCCCCTGTC